TTTTTTTTTTTTTTTTTTTTTTTTGTGAGGGCCTCTAGAATCAACCCTGCTTGCATTTATTTAGGACTGGGCTAAATAAAGCTTTGTTCATTAATTGTTACCAATGAAGTGTAAATGTGTGCTGTCTTCCCCAGGATGTGGCAGATAACCAGATAGACTCTGGGGACCTGATGGAGTGTCTGATACAGAACAAACACCAGAAGGACATGAATGAGAAGTGTGCCATTGGAGTCACCCACTTCCAGCTGGTCAGTGACATCTAGCTGCCGATTTCCCATCATAGCTGCCTGGATGGTGACTGAATCTCTTTATTTTTTGGAACATCAGAGGACCTCTGATGTTCTGTTAAAAACCATTTTTTCCAGCTGGGTGTGGTGGCTCATGCCTATAATCTCAGCACTTTGGGAGGCCGAGGTGGGTGGATCACTTGAGGTCAGGACTAGCCTGCCTAACTAGCCTCCCCCATCTCCACTTAAAATACAAAAAAATTAGCCAGACGTGGTAACATGTGCCTGTAATCCCAGCTACTGGGAAGGCTGAGGCAGGAGAATCACTTGAACCTGGGAGGCAGAGGTTGCAGTGAGCTATCACACCTCACTGCACTCCAGCCTGGGCGACAGAGCAAGACTCTGTAGGTAGGTAGGTAGGTAGGTAGGTAGGTAGACAGATGACAAGAGTCTGTCTCCGGATGGATGGATGGATGGATGGATGGATGGATGGATGGATGGACAGACGGACTCTGTCTCCAGATAGAAAGATACATATATAGAGAGAGAGAGAGAGAGAGAAAACGCACTCAAGACTCTGCAGATGGATGGAGGATGGACAGATGGAGAGAGAGAGATGGCGATGCCCTGTCTCCAGAAAGAGAAAGATAGATAGAGAGACTCTGTATCCAGATAGATAGATAGATAGGTATAGATAGATAGATTAGATTAAGATAGATATAGAGAGATAGATAGATAGCCAGCCAGCCCACCCACCCAGAGCTGACATTTGAGTCAGATAGTTTGAGCTTTTTATAGTTACCACATGTAACTACAGGAAGTATTTCTGGTATAGCAAGAGCTTCCTTCGGAGGAAGATGAAATCTGGTCAGCTGTGTTAATTGACCTCTTGTTAGGGCACACAGCCTGCCTGACTGTGCATTGAGCAAGTGTTGTTGAGCGCCTCTGAAGTCGAGGCACTGGGGGACAGTGGTGAGATGGATAAGCCCCTTGCCCTTGTGGACTCTAGATTCTAGTAAGAGAAGATGCAAAAACAAGCGTGCAAATAAATGGATAGTCTTAGGTGGTTCTAGAAAAAAAAGCAGAATAAGGGGCTGGAGGGTGAAGAAGAAAGGGGGCTCCATAAAGAGGTACTTGAATAGAAACCTCAAAGAATAGCAGAGCAAACCATGCAAAGGACCAAGAGAAGAGTAATTTAGACAGAGGGAACAGCATGTGTGTGATTGGAATAACCGTGAAGCCAGTGTGCCTCTTGTGGGGGAATACTGGAGAGATTGGCAGGCTGTGGTGTCTCAGGTGTGGAGCAAGCCACACAAGGTCTTGTTAAACAGACATGTGAGAGCTGTATGAAACACGTCCCCTACCACTACTGACTACAACTTGCCACAGAACTTCCAACTTTCTTTTCACCCTTCAGGTGCAGATGAAGGATTTTCGGTTTTCTTACAAGTTTAAAATGGCCTGCAAGGAGGATGTGTTGAAGCTTTGCCCAAACATAAAAAAGAAGTATGTAGATTTTAATTGTTTTCATTCCACTTTCCCAAAGTCCCTCTTAGCTCCTGAATGAATATGTGAGATGTCAGGCAGCCCTCCTGCTACCTGGTGGGGTTGGGTCTGGGGGCCTCCTGCTCTCTCCTTTGATACTGTGGCAAACACTTGGACTGTCTGGACAGAGCATCTGGCAGTGGTAGGTGTCACGCGGAGATCCCATAGGCTAAAGGAGCATTTTTAATTGTTCCAGGTAAGGCCATCTGACTGATGAAGCAGGGATGGATTGTGTGCTTAGAGAAGCAGGGTGCAGTGTGAGTGAAAGAGGCGAATTGACTTCTTCCCTGCATCATCCCATTATGTCATCTCGTCTAAGATGCAGCAGTTTTTATACTTGGTTACTTAGTGACGAAACAGAATCTTTATTCATTTAAGAGTTAGGTCTTGGCCAGGCGCAGTGGCTCACACCAGTAATCCCAGCACTTTGGGAGGCCGAGGCAGGCGGATCATGAGGTCAAGAGATCAAGACCATTCTGGCCAACGTGGTGAAACCCCACCTCTTAAAAAAATTTTGTAGGCCGGGCGCGGTGGCTCACGCCTGTAATCCCAGCACTTTGGGAGGCTGAGGCGGGTGGATCACGAGGTCAAGAGATCGAGACCATCCTGGTCAACATGGTGAGACCCCGTCTCTTCTAAAAACTACAAAAAATTGGCTGGGCATGGTGGCGCGTGCCTGTAATCCCAGCTACTCAGGAGGCTGAGGCAGGAGAATTGCCTG